TGCATCGATGAAATAATCATTTCATATATATCGAAAAGGTCGAATTTCAGATTGTCACAATAACTATCTATTTGATCAATTCTTGGTAATCTGTGATATTGACGCTCTTTCAGCAATTGGAGTCCATGTTCAAAAAGTTTAGGCCGTGAACTTTTGGTGGGTGCAAAAATCGCATCAATCTTAGTTCGAGCGATAAAAAATTAAGCAAGATAAAAGTTTTAATCAAAGCTTTGGAAAGGAAAGCCTATAAATAGTTGTCATCTATGCAGTTTTTAAGGTAAATCAAGCACTCTCTCTTTTTATCCAAATTCTAAAAAAGAAATGATATAGTCTCTGATAGAGTTGTCAAAAGAGCCAAAGCAACCCCGGTCTCGACACTGGTGTTCTAGCAGGGCTGATGGGAAATGGGGAAACGGAAAAGCAAAATTGAGGAAACATCTAGGCCTTCTTGGAATTTGGGTAATTTTGGGTAAACTTCTCAAAAGGCGGGGGCAAATTAGGGAAGTGAAGTTGACTCTAACCTTAAATCTAATAATTTTTTACAAGTAATTATCATAAAGGTGAGTAGTGTACCGTGGAGGGGTGACCAATAGGTGAGTTGGGACTAGGCTGAGCCCATAGGTTGTCCACACCCGATCACATTATAAAATTTGTGAAATTTTTTTAAATTGAGCTCTATCATATCTAATTTGTTGTCCAAACTTGACCATAACATGAAAGTCTGTATTAAATTTTGTGATCACTACACCAGAAATTCTAAAACTTGTCACAAAAGTGCGATTAAGTTCTAAAATTTTCAAATAGTGCAATCAAACTATAAAAATGGTCAAATTTGTACAATCAAGTCATTTCATTAACTCTGTTCAACTTGGCTAACGGAAAATGCCGACGTGGCTTTTCTTATTATTTTCTCTTTCATATGTGGTGTTTAATGTTACCATAGAATAAAGCATAAGACAAAAACAACTTTGTTTTGGCTCAAATCCTAATTTTTCATCCAAATATTAGTTAAATTATATTAAAAAATAAAAGGCTAATAGCATTTTTTTACCAAAAGAACACAAAAAAGGAAAAAAAAAAAAAGAAAAAAAACCCACAGGCCCCTCACTTGTGGGCCGCCGCCCCACCGTCCCCGCAAAGGGCCGGCAGGGCCTCATTGATGGTCGGCTAGGGTCATCGGGGCCTCAATGAATGTTGGTGACCCTAGCCAACCACATGCAAGGGTTGGTCTTGGCCAAATCTGTGGTTGGCAAGGGTGGTCGAGGCCTTGGTGATGGGCGATGACACTTGCTGACAATAGGCAAGGCCCGCCCCTCTTCCAAAACTTGGCAAAGGCGGCCAAATTTGTGGTCAGCAAGGGTCACTGAGACCCACCGACGGCGGGCTGTGACGGTGACCCCTTGTTGAGGGACCTATGGCTTTTTCTTTTCTCTTACATGTTCTTTTTATAAAAGGGAAAAACCATAGAAAAAAACTTCAAACTATACTCATTGTGATACATTTATCTTGAACTTTTTTTTTGTAACATTAAAAACTCCAAACTATGCCCACTCTGACACATTTATCTTAAAATTTTTCTTGTGATATAAAAAATCCCAAACCTGTACCTATTTGACACATTTACCCTCCATCAAGGTTCTGTTAGATGATTTTAAAACAAAAACAAAGTTGGTTTTATTTTACTTAAGTTACATGGATGTCTTGTCAACACTATTTGTTTTTCTAGCGTCCATGTAAACATATTTTTAACAATTCTCATTGACAAAACTTTGATGGAAGGTAAATATGTCACACGAGATATAAGTTTGAGATTTTTGATGTCACAAAAAAAATTTAGGGTAAATATGTCGTTGTTGGCATAGTTTATGGTTTTTTGTGGGTTTTGCCCTTTTATAAAAAAATGTTTTTCGCCTTTTTATTTTTTTAAATTTATTTAACTAAGATTTGGATTAAAAATTAGAATTGGAACCAAAATGACGTCGTTTTAATCTTTTTACTTCATGCTTCACATAGAAGAAAGAAAATAACAATAAAAATAGCCACGTCAACATTTTCCGTTAGCTAAGTTGGACGGAGTTAACAGTAAAACTTGATTGCACAAATTTATCAAATTTTAGCTTGATTGCACTTTTCAAAAATTTCAAGATTCAATTGCACTATTTTTGACAAGTTTTAAGAAGTAGAATATTTGAAGCATTCAATTTGGTTCATTTTATTAATTTTCTTAACATGGCTATGCTCAATTGATCGTCTGTTAATGCATGCAAACAGCTCCGTCTATGTGCATCAATTATAGGTATAAGGATCCAAGATTGCTCTAAATGAGGTACAATTTTAAATATATGAAAAGCCACATCTATAATAATTAATAAGCCAACAACCAACCTTGAAAACATTTTTCCTTCTTTTATATGTGAGGGCAAATGGTAATTTTCTTGCTGGGAGAGAGTCGGATCGAGTTAATTTTTTCCTAACTTCTCTCTAGATTATTTACCACCAAATTGCTGGTCTTCCTTTCCCATGAATTATTAAAGATCTTGCGGAGGTGATCCGATTTAATAATATATGTCTTACAGAAAATCGTTGTTATGTTATAATAAAATTAGGATTTTCTACATATATAGTCGCCATTCTATATTGGTATAAATCGGAATACCAATGAATTTTGAAAATAGAGCTATGTTAATAAATAAATTCGTAATTTTCTTCTGATTTAAAAATGCACTTTTCATGCATAGAAGTTGTAGTTGTTATTCTACCGTAATGAATTTGGAAAAGTCATTGTCTTTTCTGGATCATCATCCTGTTTATTAAGAGAAGGTAGGGCCCACCACCAGCATCCACTCTCCGCTAGTTTGATGCATGCCCTGGATGTACGGATCCCAATTTAAAATGTGATTATTCTCTTTTGGTGTGCGGACATTTTGCAACTCGATTGAAATAATCTATGAATTATAAATTCGAACAAAGGGTGAGTTTTGTTTGAGTGAAAGAATTTTTCATGGATCAATTTTCTATATTTTCATGCGTTTGATTTGCTGAAAATGATCAGTTAATAGAAAACTAATCATGATCGAAGAAGATATGCATGCTTAAAGTTAGGAAAATGAATTTCCTAACCTGAAACTGAGTAAACATTTTTTCTGGAAAATGATTTTCCATAAACAATTTTCCTTATCATCCCATTTTCGTAACAGAAAACTAATCATGATCGAAGAAGATAAACACATCCTGAAAATGACCCATGTTTTGTGCCACGATGCAATAGCTTCCGAGCAATATCATCCCCCTTTCCGATCAAACTATTGGTACATTAGAGAAGTTCAAATGCAGCCTCCCTTCATAGTGAATTAGTGCTAATGCTGGAAAGTAGATTGATTTAACATGAGATTGTTGTACATGAGCGGTCAATCATTCTCCGAGTGTTAATTCTGTCGACTATGAATTTCGCTCGTCTTGGAAAATTTTGGGCAAAATCGTTCTATAGTGAGCATGGTTGTCAAAACTAGTGAGAAAATGCTATATAAGGCATTATTTTTTGTTTAGGGACATTACTAATTACCCTCCACAAATTTCAACATTTTACCACTTACCCTCATTTAGATTCAAAATTACCAAAATGCCTTCTTTAGTGAGGAAGCCCACAAAACAATCCTCAACCCAAACCATCCTCACAACTAACTCACCCAAAAACCTCACCCTACTCTCTCACTCTTCTCCCACCGGCCATCGGCTCTGCTGTAGTAGCTGAAACCGCCGCCCGCCCATCGTTGAGACGCCACCCACCTTGCCCCTCACCACCAACCTAGCACAGCATCTCTTCAAATAGGTACAACGTGCCCATCTCTCTCTCTCTCTCAGGTAAAATATGATTAACAGAAAGTACAGATTTCGATCTCGTTATGTCAAAAACATCTTTAAATTATTAGTAATTATAATAAGATAGTTGTCTTTAAATATTGATTTATTTTGCATACTTGAAGGTGATATTTGTTAAATAAAAGTCAGATTTAGAATCTAAAGCAAAAGGATGAAAGTCAGAGTCATCTCAAATACATACTTAAAAACTATCAGGAAGAAAAAGAGACATTTCTATTTGTTGGGGGCCCAATATCCGGGAGAAGACTAGTCATGCGTATCCAACACATTCCTTGATCAACCTAGAATGGGTTTAGACAAATCCCAGTCCCCTGTAGCACTTGCTGTATCATCTTAGGACACGCCATAACAGCAAGAAACCTGCAACTTTTGAGTGTGGAAAGGGTCATGTTTGTAGCCTACCTACATGTCTTCAACCGGCAACTTATATGCTTTAAACCCGTTTGACTGGATTGTGGAGACGAGGCCATCTGTAGCCCAGCCATCTGTAGTGATCACCAAGATCAGGAGAATTTGCGGGCAGTTGGCACATCAACATCGCTGCCTCAGAAAAACAAGTTTGCAGGTACATGGATTTAGTATATTAATGGACGATTGAGAGGTATGGATAAAGACTGTTGCTTGTAGAATTTAGATTTAAGTAATTGCATATTGATTGATTGATTGATTGATTGATGGATGGTCCGTTCGTGAATGTTACTCCCTTGACAGTCGCCAACACGGCAAGGGGTGCAGTTCTTCCTTGTTTCCTGGTTCTTTGTAGAAGAAATCAGTATATAGACAACGCAAATTGATATAATTCGCTCATCTTCTAACATGACTACATAGTCGATTGACAGCACTCTGTGCAAAGTCTACAGGTTCTTTAAGAGAGAGAGAGAGAGAGAGAGAGAGAGAAAATTAGACGAAATTTTATAATGCTTAAGTCAAATTTTACAAATCCTATATCCATGACAACCGATTTTGTGATAGTTCATTGCGATGTCTGGATCAAGAAGAATGCTCTTGCGTTTCATATGTCTGTCTCCTCGGATTGAATTCAATAGTATGATGTTTCTCTGCATTCAAGCCAGACTTGGTCAAACCTTATCTAGAGTGAAGAATAAGAATTAAGCAGGATGTTTTCGAAAGAGAATTAAGAAGAATTAATTACCCACGCAACAGATCACTGCAGCAATACAAGACCATCCATTCACCCGATATCACTATTTAGATTCTAATCAACATTTGATAATAACTCGCAGGAACACTAAAAGAAACTCCCATTGCAAGAATGACATCCTACGACCACTAGACCAAAACAGACTATTTGTTAGTGAATAGATAACCCAACAGCCATTAAGTCATGTCGGAACGGAATTCCTTCGGTGCTGTAAAAGCTGCATCAAAGGCCAGAATATGTCTATTCTCTGAAAACCCTTTGAGGCCTGGTCCAGAAAAAAAAACAAACAGATTGATTTAGTACAATCACAGATATTATCTCATTGAATCTCTGCATCAGCATCAGTAGTATAATATAGTACCTCAACAATGAAGCAGGCCCAGGTATTGCCAGAATCTTTCTCTGTAACACCCTTCACGATGGTCAATTCTAGGCGTTGAAGCACACGAGCAATGTCAAGAAAAAGCCCTTGATCGTTGCATAGCATCTGCGACAAGAAAGAATTTGTGGAGTTATAACCAGGTGTAACCCGCTCGTATAAGGAGAGAAAGCTGATGAGCAATGAAGAAAAAGTACAAACCTCAATAAGCATGAGTCCTGGGTATTCCAGGTCTTCCACCACTATAGGGCATACCTGAAGCTCACCTCCTAATTCAAGAGCCCAACTAGCTCCACCCTGGGAATCAGCATCGATTTCAAGTGCTCTCCATCTGCTCCGTCCGGATTCCTGTGTGACATAACCATTGAAAAATGTCAACACGTAACATTTTGTGTAAAATGTAGATTGTCTAGTAAATTTGATGCAAATCAACAAGGAGTTTATGCAAAACTACCAAAACATCTTTTTTAAGATTACATTGCTAGTTTATCCTCATCTGAGTCGGACAGAGAACAAGTGGATCCATGGGTTGTGTTCAACCAAATTTGTTTTAGGTGCCCTCAGACTGTCATGAGCATACTACTTCCATCCGGTTGTGCAGATACTACTTTTAATCAATAAGCAGGGACTAATGAAGTCGGCTGCATGTGATGCCTTGCCTATTCATTCTAATCAATAAGTAGGGACTAACGACACCACCACGAGGTATCTTGCAGCTGCAGCTACACAGAGTTCCTCAAAGAAACCACACAGACATTGATCAAAAGAAACGCAAAAGAAAGAGAGAAATCATACCAAAATCTTCCTTTCAAATATTCAACTACATTTCAATCCAATGTATGAACTTATTGAGTATTAACGGAAGAAGTATATATTCTTAAGATGATGTCACAAAGGCTCATTAGCAATCTGTTTTGAGGTTTCTCGTGGAAGAACCATCAGCAGGAAGCTCTAAATGTAACCTTATCGATTTAATAGTACGAAAAAAGAACAAAGGGTTTTCAAACTTCAATTCTCGGCCACACAGAAGTTATTGAAGTCCTCGTGCTAAAACAGCTCCAGAGGTCTATGCTGGAGTGTTTAACTTTTGAGGAACGGTAATGATCATGTACTGCGAAGCTTTCATCTTAACATGCAAAGTCTAGTATTGAAACCTATTTAGTTACCATTTGCAAATCATACTTAACATGTGTCAAGTAGCATATGTCTAGTCTAACAGGTTTTACTTATATATAGGCTGTAGAAATTTCACTCCCAGCTCCTCAATCTCCTCTGCGGAAAGGACCCTGATACTAATTACAATCAATCGTGAATTAGGCAAACTGTACATTTAAAATAGATCGGAAGTCCTCGACAATGCAGACAAAAAGTCCAAAAGTTCATTAAGTTGGACTGCATTCCAGTCATGTGATTCAATCAGAAAATACTTGGATTTCTTTTAAAAATTTAAGAATCTTGTACAAAGTCAATTGAGAACAAACAGAATGAAGAAATGCATCAAAGGAAGGAAAGACCACAGTTACATTCTAAATATATTAAGGAAAGCTGAAACGAAGAAAGCCAGAATTTGACGCATAAGTAGTTTCATTATAACATTTAGTCAAACAATCTCTTTACACAAGGCCGATCACTATAATCTCCATGACTGAGAACTATGCTATAAGAATAATCAGATTGGTGGTGGCATCTCTATTCAGCTCATCATTCAGCAGTCCTTTTTTATGGAAACCATAAGAAAGGACATGAAGAGATACAATGTATCACATAACATGTATCTCGCATAAATTGTTATTTAATGGCACAACACAGTCTATTGTTTTACAAGCCATAAAAAAGAAGAGTAAACAACAGCTTTTTATGTAGGACAATGTGTTAAATGCTTGCAAAATCATATCAATGCTCGGCATGTGATCAGATGATATGTCAAGACCTCACTCTATCCGCCTACTCCAAGGCCTCTGCAGCCATGAGACCCACAGCTGAAGCATCGCTCACTGCAACTGCAAATAATTTGCAGTCGCCCCCTCCCCCCAAAAACTCCCCAGCGCAGCCACAAAAAATTTCTCTCCTACTCTCTCTCTCTCTCTCTCTCTCTCTCTCTCCAGTAGGCTATTTAAGTTTTCTTGATAGCATTCATTTTTTCACTTTAATTGTCTATCAAGTTCCTGTACTTCTCAAAAGTAACCTTGTCCTTGGCGACCTTCTGCATTCACGAAATCACAGTAAACCAACTAAAACCAGGAAACCGGCAAATATGGGGCTGACAATAGTTAACAATGTATATTTTACCGCTATAAACAGGATTAAGCGTGTGATGCTTCAGTTAATACACACTCATACTCTACAATATCTGGTTATGCTTTACTTTATACTCGATGGGAATTGACAAGTATCTTCCTAGGTCATTATATCATTCAAAAGCCAATAAATAGTCTCTGCAAGCTTATGCAATGTAATGCTTCTGCAGTATGTGAAAGATGGGGTCCCTGCAATAAAAATGGGGGAAGGAATGGATGCAATAATATAGGACGAGTTAAATACCTCTGGAGGCACCCACTTCTTCAACTTCTCTGCCCGGTTGGTTGCGCCTCTTAAGAACAGCATGTGATTGATTGTTCGATCTAGAAGGCCATCAATGCTACACTGAAATCACAAATCACACAAAAGTAATTAGTGAGCATAGGTAGCAAAGACAGGAAAATGACATGGAAGCACCAACTACGAGATGGTACGGACCTTTGCACCATTTGGGACAAGGTCCCTAAGTTCCTTCACTCTGTCCTGAATCAACTGTCTGTCCCTTGGTCTTATCCTCTGGTTATCACCTGGTCTTCCCTTTCTTTTGCTACCGCTGATCATCTTCTTCTGCCCCTTAGCCTGTTCATGAGGGGATCTTCTCTTCCTCTGCTCTTTTTCAGTGACTGTACTCAGCGTGCTTTTATCTGAAGTTAAAGAATCGCTGGAAGTTTCTTTACCTATATTCCTAGAGCTGAATGCAGCTGGAGTTATGCGGCTTGCAAAATCTCCACTCAGGCAGCTTTCTTCAGACTTCCTTTTTGTTCTCAAAGAAGTCAAAAGTTGCTCCGGTTGAACGGTTGAAGATGTGATGTTGGATTTATTTGGTGAATTACCATCAGGACCATCATATGAGTTACTGACAATAGATTCCAAGAGATACTCCTCTTCATCTTTGGCAGGATATCTCCCAGATTCCCCAGCAAACAGCTTATTGCCATCAACAAAATATTGATTCTCAGTCAAACAAGACCTTGTAAGCACATCCATATCTGTAAAAAACGAATCCACTGGAAATTCACTTTGCCACAAGAAAGTTGGTCCAGGAGCTTCATCTAGCTCATAGTTCACGGAGAAGCTAGACATGTTGCCTACGGTTTCATTTTCGATATTCTCAACATCATTGTCTCCAAATGGTAGGCTCACAAAGTCGCTAGCAGTGAAGTAGTCCTCCATGCCATCATAAAAGTCACCTAACCCGCCTGAAATGTAACATTTGTTGAAGGCATGCAATTCTTCTTCTGCACAAGAGAATCCAAAATCATCATAATCCATCCTTTCTGACCGGTTTGCAGGTCCAATTGGGGGAGTTGACACTTTGGAAGGACTGGCTGCCAAGACACAAGTCTGATTTTCCCATGCATCTTCTTGAATTTCTGACAGAGGCCGAACATGTACGAGATTTAGCATGCTGCAATTCACCTCAAAATTGCTATATAACCCTTCAGATTTTGTTTTAAAAACCAGGTTGCCAGTTATGTTCAATGACTCATCCACATCATCTATAAAACAGGATGGGATTGAATGATCCTGCAGGCCATGGTTCATCGTGGAAGTTAGAGAACGGCTAAAATCGTGTTGAAGTGAGACTAATCCCGTGAGATCAGCAACTATCGCTATGTCTTCAGCAACCTAAAGTCAACAGGATAGAATATGAGACAAGTTATATTCCTCCAGCTATTTACTTGTATATTATAGAAGGAAAGAGGATGAAGACAGACCACTTCCAAGGAGCCTAGTTGCAAGACCCCGTGTGGAAGAACAGGTAACAGGAGAATAGTCTGCGCAAGCATATTAAGCAAGATCAGTAGGGTAACTAATAAAAGAAACTACTGCACAGCCACAAGTAAACATATGAAGTAACTTTTACTTGAAAATCAACTTGCACATTTTCCAACCATTCCTTGAAGCACATGGTTGCCAGCAAATCCATATGCCTATAAACACATGGTATTGGGACCGTCATAATAAAACTACCCTACTATACTTGGTTATAATATCTATCATATTGGCATAGTTATCAAAATAAAATCAACGCATTTATTACCTTCACACCGGCCAAAAACTGTGGTAGCCATTCTTCAGGAAGCTGCAAAGACACAATGTAATTTAGAGCTGCCATATATCCAGAATAAACTGTACAAAGTCTTCAACTGGCTAATATAATGAACAAAAAACTCGTTGCAACTAACCTCTAAAGGAATCTCAGAGTTGGACTGAGAAGCCAAAATATCATCAGAAGAAAGCCAACAGTAGTTGCCTGTGACTGCCACTTCGCCTACAAGCCTAATGCATGTAAAATGAATAACATCAAGACACTGCTATTGCAATTATGTACTAAGGAAAATTTTGTGCTGCAGGTCTATTCTCAACCAATTAAACACAAAATATTTTGCTCACATATCATTATTCTTTTTCTGGATTTTCAGCGAACAAGTATTCAAATTCCACACACAGAGACTTTTTATTAAAAATACCACTTAAAGCCCTGAAAAAACTAATTGACAAGGATTATGCAAAACACAAATGGAGAAGGAGAAAATTCACAGAAAGTTAAGACTGAAATATTACCCTTCTCCCAGTGAGTAGTGAAGACATGACATATCGGTTTCCACAACTCCTAAAGGGCTTGCACTTTCATTCTGTAAGCCATTTTCATAGGCAAAAGAGAACAGCTCGCCTGATCTGTTGAAGTATAACTCATCTAAACAATTCTCTATATTTCTTCTAGCCTTTGAATGGTCAAAATACCCATCTTCCCATGTTAAAACCCTGAAAATGAATTGTGTACAGAACGTCGTCAAAAGGCAGGAAGTTTTTCCTTTGAAAGTAATTTGCAGAATTAAGTGTAGGCTTTGGACCGAGACCATCGAGACAAACATTAGACACACTGACATATGACACCCATCGTGACCCGATCCTGCTTCATGTCAATTAAAAGGGACAAGTCCCGTGGCAGGGGCAGACAGAACATGAGCAAAACCCAGAGATGGTTAACGCGTCTTTCATCATTAAACATCTAGATCAAGGCCATTTTTACCAGAAATGCCATCAACAATCATCCAGGAAGACAAAATTGAACAGTGCATAAAAAACCAGATCATTCATTTCTAGCCTAGTACTGAAATGCTCAAAATTCAAAGGACCATCCATCAGACTACTTGCAATCACATAAACACAGGGTAAGGAATTGGCTTACGTAGGGACTTGACGCCTGATCTTCCAGAACACCGCGTATGTCCAGGGCGAATCGCGACACAAGCTCTGTAGCAACTGTCGTAAAGCAGCAGTTCCCATGCTACTGGGTCAAACAACTTGGAAATTTTTTCCCCTAAATTACAAACTCCTGATACAAAACAGTGTCCTCAATCAATATAATCACCAAGCCTATCTCCCTAGCTACCTCGGTACGAACCTCGCCCCGCTCGCTTCATCTGCAACCCGGCTCTTCGCTTCGTCGGCCTTCGCTTCGCCGGCCGCCCGGTCAGCACGAGCATCGAGTATCCCATGGTTTCGGGCTCAAAAACTCGAGCTCCAGCCTCGGAATCACAAGTTCCTCCGCAGCTCTTGAAGCGTTAAAACGCAGAGAGCCTCCACCTATCAAAGGCGAGAGGGAGAGAGAGACAGAGAAAGCAAATGCGAATTCTTTGTCTTTGAACAAAACATGAACGGGTCTCGACGTCCCGATGCTGTCATTTATAGAGGCAGAGCAACCTCCGCCACCGGTCACCGGTTCATCCGGTCCGCCTGCGGTTATATTCAGTTAAATTTCCACTGCTCGTAGGTTAAAACCGGGAGCCGTCGGTCAAGATTCATCGTCCTCCGCAAGATGCGATCAGATTCCGGGCCCCGCCCAATGAGAAGGTGTGCACTGTGCAGGGTGCACCCGAAACTATTATTTTGGCTTTTTATAATTTGAGGACATGCTGTTTTATTATTTCTTGTAAACAATGCGCGCACTTGAACACTCGCCTCATTTACATTCAAAGGTTCGATTTATTTTGCGAAAAATAGATAATTCGAAAAATATTTTCTTAAAAATAACTCCCCGTATTGCTTAAAATAATTGATCGACGAAAAATATTTTCATTATCGACTATTATATATGCCTAAACATCTTAAATGCAGCGGTCCCTTTTCCTCCGTATACCATGCAATTACTGGAAATGCGCGGTGTCGGGTTTCATGTTTTTTTTTTGTCTGTCATATTCTAACTCTCATCTTACTCTCAGACTTTTGCCTTGTCTCCTGCAGAGCGTGGGAATCGAAATCAACACTTGAAACTAAACGTCCCCAGCCCCAGTCCCTTGAGAAGGTGGGGATTTGATGTTGACAAGTGCTTTAAAACGATCGTTAGACATGAGACAGATGGATGTGAGAAACGGGAATAAGAGTTTGCCGCCAAGACATGCATTTCATTCTAGCTCGTGCTAAATCTATATACCAACGACTTAAGATGAAGAAAATTTGTAATCGCAACAAATCACCGAAAAGCCTCATGTGGTTTCTTACTTGAGAAACTTGATTTTGAATTCGAATCCTGAGAAATTAGAGACATCAATAATCGCCCCATTTTACTGAAATCAACCATCCGACAAGACAATCTTGTTTAGTCGCACAACCATCGATTAACATGTTTTCCTTTCTTTCTTTTTTTGTTTTTTATTTGGTTATGCAATGAGCAGATGATGTGCAAATCACTTGGTTCTTTCCTTAATGGGTCCAAGCAACCCTACTTTAGAGAAACTTAGCAACAATTAATCTTAGTTTAACCAGCATTATCACCCCACAACAATGTTCATGAGTGACTTTACTCAATAAAATACATTAAATCAGTAAAATAAATGGAAAGTTAGGTGGTTTGCTTGGTCAGCAATCATTTTCGACCGCTTAATAATTCAGTATTTAATTTTACATAAAATCGAGCATTCAATTAGGGTCGACCTGGCCGGATGCAATGAAATGAGCTGATTACCTCACATTGCTTGTCCCTCATCTTGCTGCTCCTATTTTTTTATGGCACCACTTGGATTAAAGATCTGATAATAAATTTACGCCAAGTTGAAGCTAGACGCGGCAACCCTCGGGCGCATCGAATGCGTGCATGTGATCCAGTCAAACATTGTGGCGACCGTGTGCTAACAAAAATGTCAGCAATCATGCCTCTTAATCGAGCGGTGGAGTTGCTCATGCAAATGGAAAAACATCATTTTCAGTGGTTGTAAAAACTAGAGAGGAACATTATTGGGTCCTTCCTAATTTCAACGCGTCGGCCCAATGAGCAACCTCTGACTTGTGTATTCATTGCTCAATGAATTCGTACTAGTTTGAAGAGAAGAAATTTTCATGTCTCATTCAAAGCAGGCACTGTTTATGAAAAAAGAATACTAAAAATGTCATAACTTGCGTACGGTGTTCACTTTAATGACAAAACTTTTCGATCGATCACTTACATGCCACTTTCGTGAAAAAAAAACTACAACTTCAGTGCCATCGACAATCTGAGTTGCCGAGAAACCCAACATGTCAATATTTTATCATATAATATCTTACGTAGCCTATGCTGTTTATGTCACTCAATATAAATATTAAAGTACTTTGTAACACCATTGCCTATTCTTTTGAAAAAAAATTGAGTTATATAAACCCATTGGCAAGAAAAGTGCAACACGTCTACTGGCTGCGATTGTAATTTGTGAGTCGTCCCCCACATGTGGTTTTCACGTGTACGCAACAATGAAAAAGCAATTTAATTTAGATTAGAATGACTTAAGTTGGGGATATAAAAACTCTGTGACAACTGGGAAAGAAAAGGACCGCCGATGTGCATACACGATCGAATCGCTGCATCTTCAATAAAGAAAAGGGACCAGGAGAGAGCTGGCTAAGCAAGTGATTGTGTAAGAAGAAGTCATGCATGATGTCCATAGTCGTGGGCTCAAGTTGCATTTTATTACAGCAATTGTGTCGAAGCAAAGAGAAAACTCTAACAGTTAGCATATTGAAAGATAAAAATGTTCTGTGTGTGGATGACATTACCGAGTTATGTGATGCATCAAGCAAATCATTTTTCGACAAAGTGATAACGTAGGGAAATCAAACTTTCTTTTCTAAGTTTTGCAAGGATCATAGCATCGATGGACATGTTTGCGTAGGCAATTTGTTTGTGTTCATAGAGACTAATCGAACCACCTATTCACAGTTTGAAATCATGTATTTACCCCCTAGGTGATATTGTTAGCCACCACAATTGATATAAGAGCCTACTGCTCATGTATTTTAAGTGTTATTTCACTTACTGAGTTAACGATCTATGGCTAGCATGCTTGGACCATGTATTGTTGAAGGACAGAATAACACCAGACCTCCCTATTTCAAGTAGACTGACAATGACATCTAGAAGAACAAAATGGAAACTTTTCTAAGATCCACAGATCCTTTAATGTGAGAAGTTTTCAAAAATGGAGTGAATGTTCCAACACCCAATAGAACTACAACTACTACTGTGACCGATGAGCTAGGAGACTTAAATGAAAGAAGAGCCAGCTAGCCAACCATGACTCCTCACAATTTAGCAAATGAGAAGCATTGGATACTAATGCTATGTACTCTCTTTATTGTGCATTATCTCTTGCTGAATATAATCACGTTTCTTCTTGTGAAATAGCAAACTAGATATGAGACGAAATTCAGGTGACCTTTGAAGCAACAGACAAGGCTAAGGAGACCAAGACGAATGTACTCTTGGGAAAATATGAATCCTTGGAGATAAAACCAGATGAATCTGTCACCGAGATGTTCTTAAGATAAACAGAAATCATCAAAGGAAAGGAAAAAACATTCACACCTGCAGAGAAAGTGATTAAACTTCTAAGAGGACTTTCAAGAAACATAGACGATCGTGCCTCTCACTGTTGATGAACTAATTGGAACTCTTATGGCGTATAAAGTAGAACATGAGAATGATGAAGCAGACAAAGGTAAGAAATCAATTGTTTTAAAAACTGACATTTACGATACAGGTGAAACAGATTCAAAAGCAGATGATGAAGAATTGGCTCTAATGGAAAATAAGTTTGGATATATGGTTAGAATTGGAAGAAACTTCAAGGGAAGAAATTAAAGCAAGCAGTTTGAAGAAAGAAAATTCTTTAAGAACAAAGAAGAAGGTAAGGACATTATCTGTTTCAAATGCAAGAAACTTGGGCACATTACGCTAAACTGTCCAATCCTAAAAAAGAATTAGGGTTCACGAAAAAGCCTAAACTGGTACATTTGTGACAAATTTATCCCAAACTAATTTTTTGACCACAAAAAACCCTAAACTTGTACACATGTGACAAATTTACTCCAAGCTAATTTTTTTAACCACTAAAAACTCCAAACTGGTACATTTGTGATAAATTTACCATCCGTTAAATTGGATTAATACAAAAAAAAATCACAAACTATTAATCACAGATACACCAGTTTGAGGTTTTTGGTGGTCAAAAAATTAGTTTGGGGTAAATTTGTCACATATGCACTAATTTGGAGTTTTTCGTAGTATCAACCCAAAGAATAAAGGACAATTTGAAACGAAAAAGAAAGAACTAAAAGCAAATACTTGGAACGACACCGAGTGCAAAGATCGTGATGAAGACGAGTATGCAAACATCTATCTTATGGCAGACTCACAATTAGAGGAAGAATCGAGGTAAGTTATCCTGAGATCCTTGATGAAGTATCTTAATACATCGATGAATTATGTCAAGACTACAAATATACTCTTAAGAAAATCTTGGAGTTGAAGGAAAATATGAAGTTGAGGCATCAGAATTTTCTACGGAAGAAAATATTGTTGTTTTAAACAAGGAAATTTCAGAAATCAAGGAAAAATGAGATTTGATTGAAAAAGAAAATGATTCTCTCGAAGAGGAAATTTCAAAAGTATCCAAAAAAATTTCTTTTGGCTAAAAACTTTTGGAGCATATTCTTTCCATACAAGTTCTGTATTACAATGAATTTGACTTGGCTTTCAAAAGGAAAGTGATATCAAAAATGATTTTTCAAAAGTCAATGAGAGATTAAGGCACCTGCCTTCAAACATTTTCTACAAAAATCATTTTAGAAAATAATTTGTAAAACCTATTGGCCGAGACTTCTATAAGTGCTCAAACTTTGGGGATCACAAGAGCATCCAAATTCCTTGAGAATTTGTGAAGGAGGAGCTCCCCAGACTGACTGTTGGTAAGGATACAATGCTGAAAATGCACTTAAGACCTTCTTTGAAAAGATGGAAGAATTCCAAAGATGAAGTTATGAAGGTTGGCAATTGCGAAGATGATCCGGCCATTACTATTCGAACCACGCTGAAAAAGAAAAGAACAATTAATGTACTGAAGGTGTGGGAATTAAACACCCAAGTATTGAAATGCTTAAAGTAAAGGTACGGAAATGAAAACCCGATACTTGTCCGGCAAAGATATGATCCCTCACGAACTTGACTCGATACCAAGTCAAGTAAAGAATATACAACCCTTTGTTCTAAGCTTTCGGTTATGAACCCTTATAAGGTTGATGCTAGAGACAAACCCTAATTCCTAAATTTGAACTAGATTAAGGTGGGTCTAACTTCTACTCAGTTTATAAGATGAAAGTCCTAAACTAG